TCAAGGAACAGCATACTGAATAATTTTTTTCAATCAAATCTCGTTGCAATTATTTGTGAAGTGCCTTGGACACCATTAATGGGGAAGTGTCAAAGAACTAGCATCATTATTGTTATTACTATAGAATGAAAAATACATTGAGAACTGTTGGGTGTAAAAAGAAGTGAAAGTTTTGCCTGAGAGCAAATTACTTCCCTAACCACCGCCTATTTATGGTCTTACCAGCCATAATTTTCAAACAAATTCTGAATCAACTCTAAAGAAGGAAATAACAGTTTCATTTGCCACAGTTCCATTTTCAAGATTAGAAAGAAAATTGCAACAAGGCTTTCTTAATGGAAACAAAGTCTATACTGAAATGTACTGAAGGGCAAACCTTCTGTAGCACCTACAGGATGCCACCAGTTTCCAGTCAACAATCCATCATTAGTTAACATTTGGAATCCCTGTTTGGGGATTCAAGGGCAAAAAAGCTACAAGCTAGAAGACAATTCTCCCATAATATATTTTGCCTTCCCTTTGACATGTAGCCAGATAGGCCTCTCATACTTCACCCCACTGTCTTCATCTTTGCTTACTACAATTTTGGTTTGGATTGTCAAAATCTCACTTGCTCAAGAAAAGTGTAAATCTTTATCAGAAGTTCCTAAGAGGATTTCCTAGCTGGCTTTTTGGAGTTGATGGATGCTAACATGCCTTTTTTCTGTCAATATACAGTAAAGCAAATAATGTATTAGTGACCGATTCAACAATAGTGGGGGTGCTTGATAAAATACCAAGAACCTTCAAAAGAAATAAATCATGCCCTATTATCCTTCAGCCCACAAATTTAAAACAGCTTTTTCTTTCACTACAATAAGCAAACACTTAACTGCTCCCCACAGATTTCAGTGTTTGAAGGTGGCCACAATTCAATAAAACATTTTATAAAGAAAGAAAACATTGAGAAAATATATAGCAAGCTACATTCAAGCGATCTGAATCACATTGATCTGGTAGGAGGTAATAATTACAGACAGTTTGAAGAAAAATTCCAGATTTAAACACTCCCAAACTAATTCACTTTGGAAATGTGTCTGCATCCAGTAGAGATTGAGAATTAAACAATGATTCAAATGCTACACACTGAGAACTCACACCAGCCATAATGATGCAGTCTGCAAAACTGAGACTTGCTGTCCTGAGATGATGTGGGATACAAGCTATTTAAACAAGTCCACCTTTCCCCAGTGCTTCGACTTAGGATCAGCTGAGGTGGTTTTATGAATTAAGACATCCAAATGATACAACACAGATGAGTTTGCAAACTTTCAAGCACTTCCTTGGTAAGCAAGCTGAAACCAAGCACTCTGCACCCACTACAAATATATACGCATGTCAGTGATGGCTCTGGCTCTCAAAACAACAAATCTTACATAGCACTGCTGTGGCAGAAGATGGTTCTGGCTTTCCCAAGAGGCATGTTACAAAGGACATCCAAATATCTTTAATGAATAGCAAAGATGCTTTTGTCAAAGAAACATCTGTATGGCAATGAAGTGTACTGCTAAGAACAAAGACAGTATGGGAAGGGCATCTAGCCCAATTGCAAATGCAGAAATGCAGGGACTGATCTATTGGTTAGCAGATACATATGGAAAAGATGAGAAAGAAGAACATGACTGACAGGAACTAGAAACAATTTCTCTGGTGCTGGGCTTACCAGAATGGTCCACAGTGTAGCTGTGCCAGGATGACATACTGTTTAGTGAAATGGGACTTGGATACATGGGTACATGCATGTATGAATAAAAAAGGTTATACTTTTCTTGTTTCACAAATTTCTCAACTCACTGAAAAACAGACAAGCATGAGAGATCCTTAAATGCAACCACCCACTCACAGCCAAATAGGTAATAAGACAACAGAAACAGCCTCCCTGGAAGTGAAAGATCATTTTCTTATTGATCTAACAAGGGAAATCAAACTTTAACTGGGTTTCCTATAAGCACAGAATAGAACAATTAATTATGAAAAGCCTAAACTGAGTACGTTATTATTGCTGGTGAACTATACAATGAGCATCATTTATAAGCCCCAGGGAAACTGGGGCACCATTGTGTGTGTTTGGTCCTGTGCAAACACACACGACGGCGTTCACAGAACAGATTCCTAACCTGTCCCTCACAATCTCTCTGAAGTCTGCTGGGATAAATCATTCAGCTTACAATCCATTCCCCAACCACATCTCTCCTGGCAGTGCAAACTTCATCTTAAGCATGTAAAATAAGCATATTAAGGACCAGAATTTATGTCCCTCAATTTGTCTAGATCATTTTCCCTAGGTCACAAGTAATGGCAGGTGGTTTAGAGAAGGAGCTCTATAAAGAAACAGGCATTTCTTCAGGTCCAAACACAGCTAAAGTAAAAGCATTTTGAATGCACAGACTACTGTCTGCTTAAATAAGTAGGTCATGTACTGTAACCTTTTTTACCCCTCCTATGCAATACAAAGAGATATCAGTTCAAACAGATGGTTGGCGAGTGTGGATGAGACACAATAAGCAAGAGGTTAGACACAGAAAATACATGATTTCTCTGGAAATAAGTTAAAGGGTAGAGAGAAAGTAGTTTTACTTGGATTCTTAAGAATATTGTATTCTGGAGGAAAAGTACGATGAAAAGAAAGGCTGAGCATAACCAAAGTGGGAACTGAAGAACGCAAAACATGGCATCCCGTTTGTCTTGCAATGGGAAGCCAGGCTAGCAAGACTGTAAAATAGAAGCTATTCAACTCCTTTGTAATATAAACTGTTTTGTAAACCTGTTCCTTCTGGCAGTAAATTAATGCATCCCGTACAACTGAATGGCCTGGGACCTTACTTTATATTACCGACCATCCACTGAAAATTGGAGGTGTAATATAATCCTCTCCCATAGCAGCAGGAGCATCAGCAGAGCTACTGTTAGGGTCACTCTTTCAATTGTTGGCCCAGCATTCCCGTTGTATATCAGGTTGTGATCCATGGGACAATGCATTTTGAGACCCACTGAAAGCCCATGAGCCATGCTTTTAAGTGGAGATAACCTCAAAGGAATTTGGAACAGCACATAAGAAGTAGATTTCCCTGCTTGTCTTCCCTTGCAGCTGAAACCTGCTTGTGCTGGCACGAGAACAAGGTATAGCTTTAAGGTAAATTATATTATGAACTGAATGTGGTTTTGAAGGTGTTAGACCTCTTCCATAGAATTTACATACCATGTGCAGTGGAAAGAAGATGCCTTTAATTTTATTCCTGTGTATCTTCCAGCTGAACGTTGCAGCAGGAAATAGAGGACTAAACTGTGTCATGAACGTTCATGAAGAAACAGGTGCTGAGAAAAAACAACTCTGAATCTAGCTTGGGTTTAAGAGACCTGAATGAAAATCTGGGTAATTTTCTTGGTGTGTCTGCAATTTCAATCTCTATTTCTTTTCTATAATTGTCAAGTTGGAATTAACTCACCAGGTTTTGCCCTCTACCATTAAAGAGAAGAAGAGGATAAGAGCAGTGAAAGGGGAGGAGAGATTATTTTTTTTTTCTGGGAAAAATTCATGCCTGATTAAAGCAAAGCCAAGTGGCAAATTCTGAGTGGTTTTATGTAGTCATTACTTCTGCAGAGAAGCACTCATATTGAGTGCCAAAAAATGCCCACCAATTCCTCAACATCAGGAATCAGAGCTCTAATATTCCCTGCAGAATGATTTATCTCAGTGCTGGATCTCGTCAACACATCCTCTGTACACTCCACATTTGGTGCTCCTGGTTAAAGGAAAGAGCTCAGACTTTTTCTCTTTTCTGTACCGATAACATCATTATTATTGTGCAATCTATTTAAATATCCAAATGAGTTCCACCACATTTTTAACTCCATCGGTTTCTCCTTTTGTCCCTCCCCAGTTAAACAGATGGTTAGACTTATTTAGCAATTAAAATCAAGTTTTATTTACCCATTTCACTGGAGCAAGGTTAGAGCCGGTGCCATATGATGTAGGCTTAAAGATTTTGCTAATTTACTTTAATCCACTTAAAACCTTTAAAGCACAGATAATGGAAAACAGACAAGTAAACTCTTACACTTTCCAAATTAAGAGACAAGAGTTTCCTCCTCTGCAAACAGTAAAGCTCTCTAGAATTCTGAAAGGTCAGCAAGGAAGCCTTTGACTACTTTCTTCCTGGTAAACCCTACCTCAAAGGTCACAAACCCACAACTAAATTGCCTTTAACAAAGAACCTAACTAAAGGCACATTGCAAGGTACTTAATTGCCCTTAGCAAAGAATGTAACTGGAGATGCATTGCATAGCCTTAAATGGGAACCAAAATCGATATTTCAGCATTTAGAAGGAAATGATTCTTAGCAAGGACACTCAGAAGCTGATGATGCTGAGCTTAACAAACTAGTCTGGACTGAATTCAGAAATAATGGTGATACCAGCATAATGATCTAACTGTTTAGTGGGCAAGTGGACAGACTGGACAGACAGCAGCTTAGGACTCCTGGTACATTCATGGAAAATCCACCTGTGATAAGGACAAGAGAATGCCATTCCCTGCCATTTTAAAACAATTTACTTTTCTTGCATTCAGGTATGTCCAAATTCTCTATTACTTTTCAATCACTGAGTGTCTGGATCCAACTAGACAGGTGAGGTACATAAGCATTACTGAATCCAGTTAGAGAAAAGGAAACTGGAACACAGTTTCAGTGTGGTACAAAATTACAGGGAGTTTGTAGCAGAATTGAAAATTGAGATTCTTAGACCAGTAGTTGCAAAGATGTCTGAATCAAATGACAAAGCCTCAGAGTTAAAACACTGTAAGGCATCAAACTGAATAAAATTCATTAGGCTACTTGCACTGGCCTGTGGATCACAGGTATAAGGAAAACAGCACAGACTGAATCATCATCCATAGCACCAGGAAGGACTTCAAAATGGATCATCCTACTGGAACTTAAAACAGGAATAGAAGCTCTTACCTTCAAAAGAAATTGTGGGGTGTTCTTTCCTGACACACTGCTGATGTTCAGCTTCAGAGTATTCAGGTACATTCTGTGATGCTGAGAGATGAAAAGCAAGAAGAAAAAGGCTTGGCAATGACAGGGAAATGGCCTTTAATCTTGAAACAACCATGACTGAAGGGCAACTGCAGATCTAGCTTCCAAGGTAGGCCCACGGAGGACACCTGAAATACAAATAATTCCACTTTCAGAAAGATCAATGCTTATTCAGAGTGTGTAACATGGGTAGAGAAAGGTGGAAGTTCCCCTTTCATCCCAGCCCCACTTGTACTAAGTACACAAGATAATAATCCACAAACAGCATCTAAAAATAATGATCCAATTTCAACTGTATTTGGGCTTCTAACTTCAAAGAGAAGGTAAGTGTACAGCTCCCTAAACATATATCTCTTTGGACCTTTGGGGCACATGTCCTTACACAGCAGCTGGTGTGCAATGGCCATTGCTGACAATTTGAATTCTCAAATATTCCAGATGTAAAAGTGTCCCCCAGTGTGGACACCTCACTCCTCAGTTTCATGACATGTCCATGTTTAAATGCCATGCTGTGTTCAAGAAATCACTAAGGAATGGCCAACATCAGTCATCATGAAAACACATGTGCAATTAATACTGTTCTAATAGGAAATTCATCCATTTTACCACTGCTGGTTTAAATGTTTTAAAACAAGAGAAGCCAATTTAAAGGTGTTGCCAGGAAAGTGCTAATTAAGGTAGCATAAAAATTAAAACAGCTTAATTGGGAGAATGGTGAGAAGTGAGTCAATTGCCCGCCTTATCATGGAATGCTATAGCTCTCAGTCACAAGAGCTGAGGCACAGCTAAACAGGAGGAGCACTCACTCTCAGGCTAGGAGACGGGAAATGCCTTTTCTATATGAGCATTTTTAACAGCAACAGCAGGAAAGATATAGCTCTAAAAAACTTCCCTGGGCCTATCAGGCCTGGGGCAGGGGATGGAGGATTAATTAGCTCATGCCACAGGCTCCCCAAGGTGCTGCTGCAGCTTAGGAAAATCTGCATTGGCAAATTTAATCTTTCTAATGTGCACATTGTATTTTCCCATGTAACTTTGCTCAATTATTACAAACATATGTTTTCAAACAAATGGAGTCTCCTACCTTTAAATCTTACCGAGTGATAAAGCTAATTCTGATTGAAATATCACAGAACGAGATTTTCAGTTCCTGCAGGTGTAGTGATTCATGAAGGTAGTGTAACAGTCAACACCTGCAGTGCCTGGTATCTCTAGATTTTTGTTTGGAGTCTCCAAAACACTTTCAGTCAGCTGAAGCGACCAGACTAGTGGCTGGTACCATGGGGTACTGATACACAATAACAGGCTCATGGCACAGACCAAAATATGGGACAATAATGTGACATCAAGAAGTTGGAAGAAGTTTGTAAAGGTCTTTGCGTGTCACAGAGGCAATAAGGGAATACTTACAGCAGCAATGGGAGACAGTTGGTTTGAAAGATGGATCCTGTGTTTTATTCTTATCTGTATTTCTCTGAGATTTTAAAACACTGGCATAAAGATGAGTTGCCAGCGCATCCATTATGTGTGTCTTCGGCAGCAGCTACATATCACTGACTGAAAATAGCATTGGCATTCAGTATTTGGGGTAGTTCTAGGGCCTTGGTTTCCCAGCCAGTGTGAGTGAGAGATTACAACATTTCACATTTTTTCCAGCCCCATATACGTGCAGATTTTATGCAGGGATATATAAAATCCCTTTCCAGTTCTCCAAAGGAGGTTCTACACCATGAAGGGTGTTTTTTTTAAACACAGCAAGTATCATTAAAAAATGGGACTGGCAGAAGTAAGAGATGTGAAATCATTCAAAGCTAAGGCCAGCACACCGTTTAGTCATTAAGCCCAAGCATACTGCAGGGCGTAACTGAGCACTGTGGCATCTCACATGATGGAGATGTTGTGCAAGTCACGGCCTAATGAAAATTACTGATGATGAAGTATTGGAGTATATTTTCAGCCACTGGCTTAAATGATCGTTTTTTTCAGTACAGATGTAGAAGCAAAACACAAGCAGAGAAGTGAACGCCAGGGAGATGCATTTTGTATAGCTCTCGCATCCACTCAAAGTTCCAGAAGAGACATAACCACACTTTCCTTAGAGAGGAGATGGCTGTTGTGGGAAATGCACAGAGGCAAAAGGACTTCTTTGGTGTCAGATATCTTTGCTGGAAACTGGAGGAGACTGTCATGGAAGTCCCACCTCATGCATGCTCTGCTTCTCCCAGTGCAGCCATTACTGGTTATTCCAGACTTTTAGTCTGAGCCAATATGGTCATTTTCACACAAACAGTGCTCTTCAGCTAGGTGAAAAAGACACATGGTAGAGTCCCATGCTCCTCTACGCCCCTATGTGGTCTACAATCAGCACATGAGTAAATTCAAGTTTCACACTCATCAGGGTTGTCGTGGTTTAAACCCAGTCAGGTAACCCGTTTGCTCACTTCCCCCCCCTTTCTTGCCCTCCCCCTGCTCTCGGAGGGATGGAGAGGAGAATCAAAAGAATGCAACTCCCACGGGTTGAGATAAGAACACTTTAGTAACTAAGGTATAACACAAATCACTACTGCTACTACCAATAATAACAATGATAAAGGAAATAACAAGGGAAGAGAATACAACACCTCACCAACAGCCAACCGATAACTTGCCCCCCTCAGCCCGACCAAACACTGACCGATACCTCCTCCAACCCTGCAGTCTCCCAGCCCTTCCGGCTAACTCCCAGTTACATCCTGGGCATGACGTGCTGTGGTATGGAATACCTCTTTGGTCAGTTTGGGTCAGGTGTCCTGTCTCTGCTTCCTCCTGGCTTCCCCTCCTCCCTGGCAGAGCATGAGGCTCACAAAGTCCTTGGCCAAACCAAAACATCCTTGTTATCAGCTCTGTTCCCGAGCCAAAAGTCAAAACACTGCACTGCACCAGCTACCAAGGAGAAACATGACTGCTACTGCTGAACCCAGGACATTATCCACCCCTTATTCCATACCATTCACGTCATGCTCAGATCCCACATTTTCAATATACCATCACTCTTATCTCAGTGCACTCTTATCTTAGTGCATGGACCAGTCCCTATAAAGCTGCTGTGTCCATCTGGTCCATGATGCCAGGCTCCATCTCTTGTAACAGTCTTCCAGAGCAGGAGAGACTGTGTTCACACTCGTGAATAACCCGGGCAATAGTGTCCATTGCCAAGTCCACCCCTTAATCATGAGTCCATCTCTGTGTTGCATCTCTGCTCTGATGGCCTGAAGTGCCATGGGCCCACCAGGCTTAAAATAATTCACTGTCCCCTTCAGCAGTTTCTGCAGCTTGTTGCTGGGGACTCCACACAGCTGCCTTCCATCTCCGACGCTTCCAAAGCACTGGAGGGGCCCAGTGGACTAGATACTTGCCCATACTGTCACACACACCCTGCCACTCATGACTGCCCAGCCTTGGGGAAAACCTCTTGGTCCCCCTATATCGTTGTCTAACCCCAGACAAGACCCAAACCTGACTCTGCTTAACTTTTGAGATCAGACAAAATGGTTGTGGGTAGAACACAGTCTGTGTGTGTGCCAACATGCTGATCCCCATCACAATCAGCAGGCAGGTCCCAAGGATACCCAAAGGCCATTCAAAACCTTCAGAACTCTCAGTTGATGCTGCTGTACTTGTCACTGGGGCTGGTGTAGCTGCTGTACTGTCACTGGGGCTGGTGTAGCTGCTGTGCTCTCTCCCACCGCAGCTTCTCTTTTCCTGAGTCCAGCTCTTCCTCCCCTGCCTTGCTGGGAAATGCTGCGGGGTCTCCTGCATCCTCCTGGGGCTCGGCGGGCGGCTGCCGGGAATGCTCTCGGCCGTCCCGGGGCTGGGCTCCTCCACGGGGCTCGGCTCCTCCGCGGGGCTCGGCTCCTCTGCCGGGCTCGGCTCCTCCGCCCCCTTCTCCCGCTGCTCGGCAGCCGCCTCCTTCCTCTCCTCGACCGCCCCGACCTCCTCCACCCTCAGCCGTCCCCTCGCGGCCTCCGGCCCCGCTCCCGCCGCCGCTTGGTCCCCGGGGCCGCTCTCCCGGGCCGCTTCAGCAGCCGCCGGCTCCCGGGGCCGCTCCCCCTCGGCTCCCCGCAGCCTCACGAAGATGGAGAGTAGGGTGAGGGCCAGGACGGTGAAGAGCAGCCGGACGGCCAGGTACAAGTCCACGGCCACGTCCGTCCCGCCCTGCTGCTGGAGCCCGCCCGTATTACAAGCCATTGCCATAAAGCACAGTGAGACAAGAACCTTAGCCCAAGTCCCACACTTGATAAACACTAACACAGCGAATACCGGCTCTAAGTAAGTTACAACATTCTGAAGCTGTGAGATCAACAAGAACAACTCTGAGAGCCAATAAATCAGCATTGTGATGAGTGACTATTAATCCGGTCAAATCTGTCGTTATCTCAACCCTTCGTGCCCCACGTTGGGCGCCAAAAAAGAACTGTCATGGTTTAAACCCAGTCAGGTAACTCGTTCACTCACTTCCCCCCCCTTTCTTGCCCTCCCCCTGCTCTCGGAGGGATGGAGAGGAGAATCAAAAGAATGCAACTCCCACGGGTTGAGATAAGAACAGTTTAGTAACTAAGGTATAACACAAATCACTACTGCTACCACCAATGATAATAATGATAAAGGAAATAACAAGGGAAGAGAATACAACACCTCACCAACAGCCAACCGATAACTTGCCCCCCTCAGCCCGACCAAACACCGACCGATACCTCCTCCAACCCTGCAGTCTCCCAGCCCTTCCGGCTAACTCCCAGTTACATCCTGGGCATGACGTGCTGTGGTATTCCATTTGGTCAGTTTGGGTCAGGTGTCCTGTCTCTGCTTCCTCCTGGCTTCCCCTCCTCCCAGGCAGAGCATGAGGCTCACAAAGTCCTTGGCCAAACCAAAACATCCTTGTTATCAGCTCTGTTCCCGAGCCGAAAGTCAAAACACTGCACTGCACCAGCTACCAAGGAGAAACATGACTGCTACTGCTGAACCCAGGACAAGGGTCATGAAATGATAAAAAGTTGCATGCAGGAAAGCTTCATAACATCCCATAGTATATTCTGTGCCAAAAGCAGAGTACACTTACTAGTGTTTTGTCTGGACTAGTTGTTAAATG